CTCTCTCTCTCTCTCTCTCTCTCACACACACACACACACACACACACACACACACACACACACACACACACACACACCTGATGAGTTGGTGAAAGTCCGATGAAATAGTCTGGCACAGTCATTCTTCTTTTAATGGAGTTGTGTATATCGAACATGCTAACACACCAGTTTTACGCATATATGTTTTCCTTCGTTTTATTCAAACTTTCTGGTTGTTTAAGTTAGCACCTCTAAGTGCTACCAAATTGTCGGTCGATCTTTGCAGTGCTTGCAAGACTATTAAGGGGGCGCTCTGTTCGGGTTGTGTGTGGGTGCAGTTTCATGAGTGATGACAGACGTTTGTGGGAGTGGCTCCCTGGCTCAGAGGGTGGTTGGAACCAACAGTCTGTGGGGTTCTAGCTGTGGCGTGAGAGTTGGATGTGCGAACTGCCTTGTCTGTGTTCCTCTGCTGCCTTGCTGCCCACTCGCTTGCAATGCCTTTCCCTGCAGCTTGTAAGTTTGCCATGTAGTTTGGTTGCTGTGTCAATGTTGCTTTGTGCCTCGCTGCATTGTTGCCTTGGTGCCTATCTGTGTGCCTTGCCTTTCCGTGCATTCTGCTTGTGTGCCATGCAGTTTGTCTGCTTTGCCAGCGCTGCCTTTGGCTTCCCTGCATTGTTTCCTTGCTCCCCGTTCATTGCACTGTCTTTCCATGCAGTTAGCTTTCGTCTGTGTAGTTGGACAGCCATGTTAGCTAGCATTGCCTTGTGCTTCGCTGAGTCATTGCCTTGATGCCATGTTCCGCTTGTGATGTTGCCTGCAGGCCGTCCACTTTCAACAGGGGTCACAAGAGTCCATGACCCATGACTCAAAGGATCAAATGTGGGGATTCATCTGTGTTTGTTTTATCCTTCTTTGTTTTCAGTTTGGTACTTGTACTTTTCTTGCACTTCATTCTTTTTGTGCTTTGTGAGTTTTGCGTGCGTGCATTCCCTAATTGGCTGAGTGCTTTTCTTTACCTTTTTTTTTTCCCTTTTCTTCCTATGTTAAGCCGTCGCCCAGCCCGGCATGCCCGGGCCAGTTGGGCAGAGGGGCAGTCGCCCGGCAAAACCAGACGGGTCAAAAAAGAGGCATGGATCCCAAGAAGGAAAAAAAAAGACTTCAGGCCAGGACTGCGCTTGGCCTAAGCAGTCAGAATCCAGTCTTAACTTCGATCTTGGTGATGGGCCGCCCAGGGGGGTTGGGGGGTAAAAACAGTGACTAACAGGATTAAAAGGGTACATTTGAAGTCTTTTTGGACTCATGTTTTTTCATCTATTTTTATCTTAAAATTAACAAGGAATATAAAAAAGGAATTAATGAAAAGGATAAGAAGCTGCGCCGCCGAAGTAATGGCGTACAGTCCACAACCTGCATCAGCAGGAGTAATGACGGTAGTGCATAAGAATGCTCTAGAGAGGCAGCACCTGCAGATCAAATCGATGACGGCAGACCGGACAGAAGGCAGGTGGACAAAAATAGAACTCAACATCAAAGGAGGAGACGTTACCCTAATAAATGTATATGCCCCAAATGCAGCGACAGAGAGAGTAGACTTCTTCACTAAGGTAGGGGAGTTAATTTCAGCGCAATCTCA